GCCATCAGGCATACATTCAGGACCGCAAGGATCCATCATCTATCCTGATGGCGGGAGGGCAGAAAAGCCTGACATTTTCCTTACCCTACAATGGTCATTTGGAATAAAATTGTATGTTTATACAGCTTTATGACTTACAAAATATTCTCATTTGTATTATTTCACTTAATCCTTGTAACAATTCATAGAAGTATCATTGCTGCTATTCGACAGCTCAAGAAACTGAATCTTGGGCAAGTTACTTACCCGAGAGCACATTAGAGATAATAAGTGGTAGAGTCAGCATAGAACTCAGATCGCTGACTAAATTCTTTAAGGTGGTTAGGATTTATTAAATTTATGTTTGCAATAAATATCTTGCAACACATCACTTATATGTTTGCACATTTGTAGGGTAAATGGAAGTTATCAGGTTTTTTCTGTCCTCCCACCATTAGCATCTATGATCGACACATGTAGTCTTACATGTTGGACTGATGGCAGCACCTGGAGTTTGGTGTGGGTGGGCATAAGGGGGCACACCTGAGCTGAGAGACTGACCTAATAAGGGCGACATCGCAGAGGAGGGTGACAGCAGAGGACAGGAGACGGCAGAAGACCGTGCAGAAGAGTGCATTAGAGACCAGCAGAGAGACCACAAGAGAACACCAGAGAGCCCAGAAAGAGTAAAGATTCACTGGGGGCTAGGAGGCCTGCCAGCCTCCTGTCCCTCCAGCGCCCCCTGTCTGCACAGCACATGGTAGTCTCACTACAAATAATGTAGAAAGATCATTAAAAGCCTGAAAAAGCCACTGAATACTCCAGGATTCTTCCTTTACCTGTCTCCCTGGTGGTGCAAGGGGTTAAGATGCAACCTATGAAGCTATCCGCAGCAACTACAGCATGAGTTCGATCCCCGGCCAGGGAGCCAGCCCACGTAGCGCAGCAGACCTCAACTGACTCACCCGCTGCTCCCCTCAGCAATACATTTCAGTCAGTCGGCCTGTTCTGCTCCCCATTCTGTCTCTGGTGAATCCTCTCACCTCCCTACACCTCTGGCCTACACCTCAGTTCTTGTATGAATAAATAAATAAATCTTTGCTAAATAAATAAATACACTTACTGTGGCTACACTTGGCAGTTAGGAATCTCAGAGAGGGTGAGCCAACTATCTTCTATTTGTCTCTCAAGTTTTATTCTCTCTTCTCTGTGCCTCAGGATGGTGACCTTTGTAGAATAAATTATCAGGTTCCCCTGCTCTTTGACTTTCCACTGGATTTAGTCGAGGTAGGGCACATGCCAGAGACCAGAGGGAGAAAATGAGACTGACTTATTCCTTCAACTCTTTCCTACAGAGTTGCCTTCAAACAGACTATAGCTCCTGTCAGGGAGCTCTCACTGTCTCTAAACACTACTAATTGCTCAAACCCCTCTCTTTCCAAGGTTGGGGTTAGCAAGAGTACATGGCAGTGGCCAGCATCAGCGTTCTGAACCATCTCCAGTAGCTTCTCTACAACCTGTCTCCACTTTCCTAAATCATTCTTTTATTAAACACTCCATAAATTATCCAATTTGAGTGTGCCATCTGTTTCCTGCTGAGACTCTGACTGATACAGGGGCCTTCTTGGTGATTCTGTTATCATAAAAGGGTTTAGTGGCTAAACTCTTCTGGAACATGGTCCATTAATGAGAAAATCAAGCTGGTGTTGATGCGGAGGAAATGAAGACAAATGGAGCGCAGTAATATGAACTTCACAAATGAGGTAGATCCTGCCGGAGTTTGAATGACTTGAGATAATCAACTCTAACAAGACTATAGTGACAGACCAATCCATACTTGCATTTCAAGCTGGCCTCATTCACATGCCCAAGATAGCTGGTCAATGTCTCCTATTAGGGGAGACAGAAGAATCACTATTCTGATAGAAATAATAATTCAGCAGCTTTCTCATACACCTGATAATTAAGATAATTTATAAATTAAGAATTGAGAATCAGAGAGGTTGAATAACTCAGTCATAGTCAAGCAGCTGGCAAGTAGAAAAGCCAGAGTGTGGAGTCTAATTCTATCCTCCTGACCCTACTGAGATTGCTGAGTCCCAGAGCATCCCAGAATTCTGGGGATCAGAACAGAACTCCTGCATTTCCTGTTTCTTACCCTACTTCCCACTTTTCTTGGGTTACTGGCCCATATTTTCAATTCCATTGCCCTGTGTAGGGTAAGTGAATTACTCAGGCTTTTTGCACCACTAGCCTCTGTGGCTATCACCTGCGGTCTTGATCATGTTGATGCAGAAGACACTTGTGAGTGTAGGCACAGGACATGTGTGCCTGATTGTGGACACTTGGAGTATGGATGCATGAGCATGCAGAAGTGTGCACACCTGAGCCTGGAAGCCAGGGATATAAGAGCGGCTACAAGAGGATGAGCAGTGTGATTTACAAAAGAGGTGAGACCATGAGAGAACAATGCAGAGATCCCAAAGAAAGAGAAAAGATTAGTGGGGGGCTGAGAGACATTGTTACCTGCCCACTTCTCCCCTTACCCCACCCCCCAGCCAGTGCCTGCCTCCTTGCATGCCAGCCTCCCTGTCTGGTGTGCCTGTACACCTGGTTCCCCAACAGTGTATTAAAGCCTGTCAGATCCACTGAAGGCTTTTCCTTTATCCATCTGCCCAAATCCATAGTGAACCTGCCCTATGTATGCTTGCACAAGACCCTGATCTCACAATGTGGCTCAGTTCTTCTGCATTTCCATCATAAGGTCAATGATTAATCGCCATTTCTATTATTGGATACACAACCTCACTCCGCTCAGTTCTGCCTTGGCTCTGAAATACAATACCTGCTTCCTGGAAGTTGTGTTTTGTTTTTTCCTAAATCAACATTGTTGAAGCCAAGTAAAATCTGTGTCAGACTCAAATCATATTCTTTGAAAACCCATTTTCTTTCCTGAAATTGTCCTAGAAAGAATTGCACCAAGAAGGAGCCATGGTTAACCAAAAGCAATAGCAAAAGACTAACGTTTTTTAAAAAAAAAAAAAAAAAAAAAGCAAACACCTTAGTGGTTAGAATTTAACTGAACTCCTTAAAAACCACAGCTCTGGAAGTAACCTGTAATGGCTAAGTCTAGAATTTACTGAATACAGACAATATGGGTAATAGCTTATAAGAAAAAAAAAAAGAAAATTCCCAAACCACCCAATTCCACATTTCCCACTAGATTGCACTTTCATCAATGAAAATGAATGGTGTTCATTCATTTTAAAAGAACTTTCAATGGTCCACTGAAACCTCCAAACTTAACAAGCAACAATTTTCTGATATTTGTCAAGTAGATTATAAGTTCTTTACTAGAATCATTAGAACTTAGAAATTTGTGAACAAATAATAAATCCTAAGTTCCAGGGTAAATCATCTAAAAAGGCATTGTCTTTGTCTGGTTCGTTTCACTTAGTATAATTCCGTCAAGTCCCAAGAGTGGAAAAGTAGTTGTCAGGGACTGGGGAGTAGGGGGATGCAGTGAGGTCAATATAAGTGTGCAAGCCTTCAGCTATAAAACAAATAAGGGCTAATGTATAACATGGTGACTATAGTTAATAACACTGTTTTATATCACTGAAATTTGCTGAGAGTGGAACTTAAGTCTTCTCTCCAAAAAAAAAAGATAAATTTGTAAAGTGATGGATGTGTTAATAAGGAAAGTATGTTCATATGTACATATCTAATCTTCACAATATATATTTAAAATATCTTACACTTTATCAATTCCTGCATTAGAATTAGAAAGGGCCATTAACAATAAGAGAAGGAAATAATTCTCAGGATTGTCATGCAAGAATTATTTTCTTCTACATAGAAGTGATATCATCAAGTGTTTATCTTTCTCCATTTGATTTCCTTTCACAAAGTACCTTCTATGTCCACTCATATTGTTGCAAATGGCAAGATTTTATCCCTTTTTTAATAATTAAGTAAAGAAACCAAACTAATAAATGAACAAAACAAATTCTTGGAATATAAGAACAAAATCCTGGTTACAGAAGGGAAGGTGGTAAGAGGGTGGTTACATGAAGTTAAAAAGGTCAACTGTAGGTTGAAGCATGGAAACTAGATTTTTAGTGGCAAACAAAATGCGGTCTACATAGATGTTGATTTATAATGTCATACACTCGGAGCATACATGATTTTATAAACCAGTTACTTCAACAAAAATATAATTTAAAAATTCAAATAACAAAAGAATTGCATTTTCTTCTTTTGACTCTCATTTAAACATACCATACACAAAATTCTTTTTTTTTTCCATTTCATTATGATTTATCTGATACCAACTTTCCCTGTGCAATTAATTCAAAGGATAAATTTCCAGACTCCATTCAAGGCCCTTAATCATAATCCTCCCCAGTTTATTCCAATCCCAGATCTATATTATAGTGACATGACCACCTGTGGGCAGAATGGACATTCTCCCCTAGGAACCCCTGCAGTCCTTTGCACTTAGAACTCTGCTAGACTGGGCAGGCAAATCAAGTTCCATAAAGTAGCAGTGAAACACTCCACCTTGATCAGTACCTCCAAAACCATAAAAAGGAGTTAGAATCAAGACGTCATTATTAACAAAAACATCTTGCCTGAGTCACACCTTTAACTTCCCTGTAGCTCTTTTTTTTTTTAAGATTTATTTATGCATACAAGAACTGGGGTACAGGCCAGAGGTGCGGGGGTGAGAGGATTCATGAGAGACAGAGTGGGGAGCAGAACAGGCAGACTGACTGAAATACATGCTGAGGGGAGCAGCGGGTGAGACAGGAGAGGTCTGCTGCGCCATGTGAGTCACCTCCCTGGCTGGGGATCAAATTGTGCTGCAGTGGCTGCAGATAGCTTCACAGCACTGCACTTAATCCCTTACACCATGGGGGGAGGGGGGGACCTCTTTCCTGCAGCTCTTTCATAGCCATTGTCTCAACTGCCCTGCCTGGCTGGAGACTGCAGTGGCATTTTCCCATTGGGGATTACAGGTTAAAGTGACAGGAGAAGACAAAAGCCACCCAGAGTCAAAACTACCTTTGAAGACACCTTTGAAGAAAGCATCTTGTTGAAGACACTTTGTGGAACACCATGTTTCAGTAAGTGTGGCAAAGCATTAGAAAAGAGGGTTGTTTGTGGATAAAACATCTAATTGGGTAGCTGGTTTTGCTTAGGGGCCATGTTGTTGAGAAAATAGATATAAAGACATTTTATACTTGGACACACACATATGCCAGTATAAGCCACATATGTATATGTGTGCATGTGTCTACATATATGTGTGTTGCACTGATATATATATCTGCACCAGACTCATACTGCTCATGGTGGAAATCTCTCACTATGTGTGGCATGCAGTCACCGAGGTGCAGTGGAGAATCATCAGAATTGTACTTCCCATGTCAAGCTTATTTTACGCTTTATGATCACTGAATGGAAATGTGAATGGAAGTAAAACTAGCCACACTATATAAGTTCTCTCTCCCCAGCCTTCCCTCCCTCTTTCTCCCACAAGTTCATACTGCCATACTATATATGAGATAATTCCATTATTCCCTTACTTAACATGTGAGGAAATTGAGCTTATGTACACCACGTATTTAGTAACTGACCTCTTACTACCTGGGAATAGGTGACCAAGGACCACGTCTTCACTGAGCTGAAAAAGAGGAGACTTGGAATGGGAGAGCACGCCTTTGTGTCAGTTATGTTGATATGAATAAGTGTGTCATTTCCTCCTCATAGAAGACATGCGAGGACAGTATTATGACTACCTTTTCAGAGAAGCAGTATGAATGATAGAATAAGGAGAGAATCTACCTCTCTGAGCCCTTCTACCATGGCGGTGAATTTCTAAAGCAGGATGACCTACTACAAATATTCTACAGTATCAACTAACAACCAGGCCACAGACTGCTAAGGGTGAAGATGTTTCTGGAAAGTACAAATAGGCCAGGGGGGAGAACTTCATTAATATTCACTGATACAAGACCCTTACTGAATGCTGGGAAATCCCTAGTCCAATGATAACCATCCTCCCTAAACTGCGGGAGTAACTGTTGGGGGGAATTTAAAAATCATGTTCCAATCTTTCCAACTATAAAAGAAGAAATGCTAACTTGCCTAACCTATTCCTTCATTTTTTTGGTTTGGTTTTTTTTAAAGTCAAACTTTTTTTTTTTAAGATTTATTTATTTATTTATACAAGCACTGGGTACAGTCAGAAGCGAGGGAGGTTGAGAGCATTCACCAGAGCCAGAGCAAGGAGCAGAACAGGCAGACTGACAAAGTGCACTGCTAAGGGGTGCAGCGGTTGCAACAGGAGAGGTCTACCCGCCATGTGGGACCCTCACTGGCGGCCGGGGATTGAACCGGCGCTGCAGAGGCTGCGGGCAGCTTCGCAGCCCAGCGCTCAACCTCTGTGCCACCGGGGAGGCCAGCTAGTCCTTCATTTTAAGGAGTTTCCATAGATATGTACACATTGAAGTCCATAAACAAACTCATAAGTAAACCAGACAGTTTTGCACAAAGTGCCGAGTGTGTACTGCACAACTCATAAATGGCATTTTGACAAAGTGCCAACTTTCCAGTGCTTCTCATTTTATTTCTGTGACAAAACTAAGCCATGCTCAGTTCCCTCTGATGTATTACTCCCATGAATAAAAGATGTTCCTTGACACTAATTCACCCTGTTTTTTTGACTGCCCACCGTGCCCTCTGCATTTGTCTAGAGAGTGGGAGAGTTTCAGAGATGTGGCGCCCGCCCCCAAACTCTGTTGATCACACTGCACAGGAGCATCTCATTAAGTTGTTGGAGTCACCTGCTAACGCAGCCTCCCAGGTTCCAGTTAATGGCTGCAAATGGATGCAGTTTGGATTTTTTGTTGTTGTTTTTGTTTTTGTTTTGTTTTGTTTTGTTTTGTTTTTTTGGAGAAAAGGTTGGCAGCAGAGATTTCTGGTTTTCTCTCTAGCTCAAAGCACCAATATACAATCTCTGACAACATTTATGCTACTGAATAAAGAACATCCATGGGGCGGGGGGAATCCATGACACTTTTTTAAGATGATTTCCCAATACTTGCTAATTAACCAGCTAATGAAGGGAGATGGTGACAGACTTGATTGCCTGGGTTCCTGTACAAAGGGTAAAGTTCAAATGCAGTGGAAAGAGAACTCGATTAAGAGTTAGGATACTTGGGGTCTCCCTGGTGGTGCAAGGAGTTAAGCCACAACCTATGAAGCTATCGCAGCCCCTGCAGCATGAGTTCCATGCCCAGCCAGGGAACTATCCACATGGCACAGCAGACCTCTCCTAACTCACCCACTGCTCCTTTCAGCAGTGTACTTCAGTCAATCTGCCTGTTCTGCTCCCCACTCTGTCTCTGGTGAATCCTCTCACCCCCCACACCTCTGGACTGTACCCCAGCTCTTGTATGCATAAATAAATAAATCTTTTAAAAAAATTTAAAAACAAGAGTTAGGATACTTGGATTTCTACTCTCAGTTCCAACTGTAGCTCTGTGTCTGGGCCAAGACACTTTTTGTCCACAGCCTTTAGTTTCCTGTTTATAAAATTGATGTGTATAGGAGAGAGTGAGTAGACACACAATTCTATGATTTATGTCCTTTCCTAGGCTTCATCTTTATGCTGTCACTTAAAGTTATCTTTAAATTATTATTATCTTATAATAAGCAATGGGAAACATAGATCTGAAGAGGTGTGAGCCTATACCCCCAAATGATGTACAGGGTTATAAATCAATGTTACCTCAATAAAAAATAAAACAAATTAAAAAATGATACTATATCAACATTATTTTGGTTCACTTATTTTGGTTCACTAAACAGCCTCATTTCAACAGCATAGATATCGAGTTATTTCTTTTTCAGTTACATTTAAAATGCACAACAATGTCATTTGATCAGAGCAGTGGTGAATTGTCAGCATTTGGGTATTGAGTCAGTCATAGAATTCTAAGAAATACCATTGTTAGTGAATGTAAAACACCTAAATACATGGAGTTTTGCTCACCATCATAGCATATTGTATAGCTACAAAATTGCTATTTTTTCCTTCGCCCTGAAAACAGTTTTGGGAATAGAGTAAAAAATCTGTGGAATCATCGCATTGGGAGGATATCTGCATTCAAACAGTGACTCTATTCCCTCCCATCGCATAATTCCCTCCTCTTTATTCCCTGTTTATTCTCAATTTATAGCCTGGTTCACAAGAAAATTCACTGACAAAAAATAATATTTTTTCAAGATGGCAGAATACCCCAGTCATATAAGCAAGACATAAAATGGTCTGGCACAACAGCTAGTCCCATGCTGAGCCAAGAATGTGCACTCAGTAATACTGATTGGTTGACTGATTGATCTAGTGTTGGAGATCTGCCTTCCATTCCCTGTCCCACTGTGCTGAAAGGCCATGCACTTGTGCTTTCCATTCAAATGATCTGTGTCTCTATCTGCTGAGCTGTAAAATCCAGGTGACAGCATCTGCCTCTAACACACTCCCCAGAATTTTATAAGAATTGGTGGAATCATGCCCGTGAATGATTCTGAGTTCTTCAGATAAAGCCAGTACCCTCCACAGAAGACCACATGACTTGGAAGTGTTTATGCATGCAGTGGATGGCAGCAGTTCCCGGGGACGATCTCAGGAAATTGGAGAGCCAAACATGCACATGAGCAAGAGTGCATCCGAGGAGATTCATGCATTATGGATTTCTGACCGGCCATGAATAATACATTGCTCAAATTTAAAATGCAATAAGTAAAACAACCAGGTACCATTAGTGTTACATACTTAAATATTTTAAAAGCTCCATGTAAATATCGCATAGTCATTTCAGTTAATTGTGATCAAAGGAACATATGTCCTCCAATCTACACTAAGCCAATGGGTGTGGTTTGGGGAAAGAAGGGCTCAGTGAATTGAAGTGTAATTGCAAGCCCTACTTGGAGAATCCCAGGTAAGATTGATTACACTTTTCTAATCTACCATGGATTTGAACGACTGCAAAAGACACCATCTACATTCAAATATTTTCAAAAGGAAGGAGATTATTAAAAAGGATGAGGAATAAATATATCATTTCAGACTCTCCATTTGGTCTAAACTGCTAAAGCAAGTAATTTAAGTTAAAAATGTAGCTGTAGACCTTTACAGGAGAAAGGCCAGCAATTTCAAGGGAGCAGCCATCCAGAGAATGCCAGTCGGCACCCTCTCCCATGGGTCACCAAAGAGAGACACACGCTTGATGAATTCATCTCAGACCTGGTCTTATCCTCACTTCACACTAAGAAACATAGTTCCTAATGTTCCAGAAATGATGAGATTGAGGTTGCCTACCCTCGCTAACAAAGCTCCCAAGAAACGACTGAACACAACCAGAATGGCAGCTTACAGTTTTAGGATGAGAAATGTAACTCTCAAGCAGACTGGACATTTGCTGTGGGCTGATTAGTACATTCTACCATTGTATTAATAACGCAAAATAATAGAAAATTGCTCAGAACAAGGATTGCAGAAATTTTTGTGAAGGGCCATATAGAATATTAGTTTAGCCCTTATGGGTTATATAGTATGCTTCACAGCTATACAAATGTAAGCCATATTTGGTCTGTAGGTCATAGTTGGCAGGCTCTTGTTGAGAATAAAGGAATTTGACTCTGATATGCTGAAGGACATAAGATTCAAATAGTTCCCTATAGGACTCTTGCTATTGGAAAAAGTGTCCAGATGGACCCTGGGATGTTTCCCTGTTTCTCTCGCCTTCAAAATATACCTGGCTGGCAATTTCCTTGTAGAAAGTTCTATTCTCACTTTAGCAATGTGAAACCACTTGTCAATTTTATTAAATAAGGATAAACCTTATAAATAAAATTAAAAAAAAACAAGTTCAGAGCAAAAAATAGCTATGATTCTCTCAAAAATTGTGATGGAACAATATCTGGACCCAAAGTAAAACTACCCAGGAGGAAATATCAAAGACCCCTAGTTGTAGTCCAAGATATGTTTGACTCAGGCTTCACTCAGTATTATAAGGATTTAAACAACTCATCCCTTCTCATTTAGCTCTGGCCCAAGTACCAAGGAAATTCCTCCATGGTCCTTCTTCTCCCACAAGTCAAAATAATAGCAATACACTTGAGGTTATAAAACAGGAACATAGTCTGAATGACAGGCTGAATGAATACAGTGAATGACAGCCTATAGCACTCTTTTGGTTTCCTGAACTACAGAAGTGGGGTCACTGCTGGATCATGACTTTCCAGAATTTCTGGGGTTCAGGTTCCCTAGCACTTAGAGTCTCTGGCACCATTCAGATCTCAGGAGCTGCCAATGGGCTTTAACCCCTATTTCTCCATTGCTCCAGCATCTGTCTTTACTGAGGAACTCCATCTGTTCCCTCTGCTCTCTCTGAGCCAAATGGAAGGAAGCATTCACTCTTTTGACACAACACTCCTCTCAGCCTGAGAATCTACAAATGGATTATGGATGCCCTGAAATTATATGCCAGATTTTATTTATGTAAACACATAGATACATTTTTCTCAGGAATAGGTACACAGCTTTCCACAAATTCTCAAAAAGGTAAATGACACCAAAATTATCAAAACAAGGATCACATTGTATTTGATTAAAGTGAAATGCATTGAGAGAGAAATCATTATAGACTGCAGATAATCCATTTGCCTTTGTACTCAGCACATACCAAGGGTAAGCCTGAGATGCAGATCTAAATCCACAGTTCTCAATTGGGAATAAATGCTTGACAAGATAATATTTCTTCCAAGAACTATAAGAAGTGCATTAAAGAACATTCTTCAAGAAAGATAATCTGAGATCATGACCATGACCAATCTGAAAAGGGGAAAATACATACTTTCTCCCAAAAGAGTTCACACTTTTTCTTCCCCCTCCCTAGCCTATTTTATTTCTTTCTCCCATCCCACACCCAGCCAAAAGCTTCTTCGTTAGCACACTATTAGAAGTATGAAGGTGGGGTTAAATTTTTATCCATTATTTTATAATGTTATATAGTTTCTATATACAAGCATTATATTTTAACATCTGTGTATGCTACATCATAATCACCACCAAAGACT